TAGTCCAAATAAGCACTTATTTCGAATAAGCACTCCCAAACATGGCCTAAGAAGGGAAATTTTTACATAAAGAGGCTTGTAATTAATTTTGTAATCAGAGAATTTCTTTTATTCCTGTGCTGTGGAGAGAATTCTGAGAATGGTTTGGAGACTATTTGTTCCTTGTAGGTTGCAGTTTTTGTTTTTGTTCTCATCATTTTTGTTTCCAATTGAGGGATAAAGAGCTGATTAACGGTTTAAACTTTGTTAACATTATTAACTTCTATTCACATATTTGTCTAATAAAGATGGTGAGTATAGTTTCTTAGCTTGAATAGTTGTGACAACTTATTATTTTTGGATTGCCAGGAATGCTATCCATTTCTATATCTATACAGTTATTAAAGGTATGAATGAGCTCGTGGAACTTTTCTTTTTATTGAGTCTTGTATTTAAGGTATTAATTTACATTTTCTCTCATTAAATCCTATATTTAAAGTATTTTTTTCACCAATAAATTCTCAAATTCTTTAACAATATCAAACCCATGTATTTTTAAAACCGACTCAAAAACAAAACTACTATTTTCTCCATATAGCAGGTAAGCAATTCAACAATCCAGGTCAAATGGCTAAACCATGATATCATAATTAAATAATAAAAATTACAAATAATAAATAAATACAAAATACTATAAAAAAATTATATAAAATTTGTGCACATCTCTAATATTTTATATTAATCATATTAATAAAACATGTGTTATAAACAAGGATAAAAATATCAATATGCCTGATACCAACAATTGGGTATCGGTGCATGCCAATAAGACCAATACTCTTGTTTTTTTATTTTTATTTATATTTTTTAATTTTATTAGCATGAGAGGGATGCCTTCTATCATCCCAAACTTTGAAAACCCCTAACCCTTTATGTATTGGTTTATCCATGCATCTCCATGACCATCGATTTTGATCCTTGGTGATAAACAAGAATTGTTTTTATCGATGATGAAAATGAAATATAAAATTTAATATTGATCCAAAAATAAAATTGTATTCTTGTTTGGTAGTGGGCCAATAGTTCAACCTTTAGGGTCAAATGTATCAACCCTTGATATCATAATTAAATGATAAACATAAAAAAGATAAAATTACAAAAATTACAAAAAATATAGAAATTTTGTAGAGAACATGTGGACATATCTCTAATATTATATATTCATCATATTAACTAGATATAAGTGATAAATAAGAATTGTTTTTTACACATGAAAATATAAGAAATTATATAAAAATGTGGACACATTATTACTATTATCATCATCGTCATCATCGAAATTACCATGTGTAAAGCATGTGAAAATTTGCTAATTATTTTTAAAGGTCTCAATTGTAACTTTGATAGGACTAAATCTAGTTCAAATATTGTATGAGTTTAGATCTGCTCCCAACACTGTCATAACTGGTCATTACTCATACATTAGGAACATATCTCCATTAATGGCAAGGGAGATGGAGATGTTCCCAATGTTGGGCTGCAATTGCCTGTTGGGACAGAGTTGGGAGCAGATCCGTGCCCCTCTTTGGTCCTCCTATAGAACTAAAAAGGGGTGTTAAAGATTAATTGTGGTGTGGGATCTATAAATTGTACCGACTTTACTTAGGGCCCATTTGGTTTGCAGGAATAGGGGTTTGGAATTGGAATATCCCAACTGTTTGGTTGAGTGGAATCGGCATCCCATTCCCATTTCTGGTGGAATGACATTCCATCATTTGAGGGAATGGCCATTCCCTCCCCTCCCTTGGGAATGAAATCATATTCCAGTTGATTCTAATTCCTATTCTGATTCCTATTGAATCAAATGGACTATGGGAATAGATCATTCCAATTCTGATTTCAAAGGATTTTGATTCTGACTTCTATTCCAAAGGATTTTGATTCTGACTTCTATTCCAAAGGATTTTGATTTCAATTCCAATTTTAACTAGCTATGAGCTAAAGGGACCCTTATGCTGTGTTTGGTTGCAATACAAATAAATTTGCATTGATGCAAAGCTATGATAGTGCAAATGATTTGAGTGTAAATTCTGATATATTTTTGTTTCAAATTTTAGTTTATTTTGTTTGATTGAAGTACAAATAAAATAAATTAAGACCTGAAGCAGAATAAAGTAAAACCCAAAACAAAATTAAATAAGAATTTGCATTCTTTTTATTTGCACTCCTATGCATTTGTACTAGTACAAATAAAATTGCACTGCAACCAAACACAACCTTAATGATTTAGTTGCTAGATGTGAAAGATCGTTTATTTTAAAGCGATCGAGATGGCAATTCTGGTGGTGAATTCTTGGGGTTGGAATGGAATCATATTTGAATTGGACTCATTAACTATTAATGCTCACAGAGGTTTATCCGATGCTACTCCGGGTTTTGTTTTGATTTTTTAGATGCTATATAGACCTGTCTAACTCTTCTGAGATCCATGAATTAGTCAAAATTTTGGAACTGTTAGTAGGTCAAAAACTCAAGTCTATACGGAGGTAGGGAGATTTTTTTGGTTTGGTTGACCCCTCCTTGGTTATATTCTATTTCTGGTTTAACTGTTATTCTGGTTGTTTAACCCATGGTTTTTAAAATCGGACTGGACCGGATGGTCGGATCATAAAAGCTGGGACCAGTCAGGTTTGTTTTACCCCAGAATTATTATTTCTTCAAAAACCGTTGATTTAGTCAATAAACCGCTGACTTGGGTGATTGAATCATTTTGAACCATTTAACAGTTTGGCTGTTTTTTATTTTTTATTTTTTTTGTCAGAACAGACCATCCATTCGATTCAAACGGTCAGACCATTCAACCTGGGAATTGGACCCTGACCGGTTCAGTTTTAAAAACCTTGGTTTAACCCTAACAAAATACTAATCCGTACTGATGTTGCGTGATCTAGTTGCTCCCTGCTGGAGGTGATCTGGCTTCCAGGCGGACGACGGACAGTTGATCTGCAAGAGGATCAGAGAACCCGGGGTTGCTAGCCCGGCGAGGTCGCTCCGATGCTTAAGTCAGTATACTTGTTGCGAGCTAAGAATAGCTTAAGAATTCAGAGAGCTAGAGAGCATATAAATCACGCGTACCTTAAACCACCGGGGGTGGAGCCTTTATATAATGGGGTCCTCGCGGGTTTTACGGAGCGGTTCCGGGATCATCGTCATGATAGGATCTGTTTCCGTGTAAGTTGGAAGATAATGCTGTCAAACCGATAAGGTTCATCAATTCCGCCCTAATCGGACGGAGAGATAATGCTAACTGTTACATGACGTGATCTCGTGAAACCCGGGACCCGTTGGAGGGATTTTCGGGATCACCACGTAGTGGCGGGTCGGTAACCCCGAACTGATGTCTTTAAGTCCCGAACTGGGTTGGATGCCAAAGTGCCTTGGCATCGAGGTGTTCTTGTTACGATCTGGTACCGAGTCGATTTCGTCTCGAGGTGAGCTTGTCCCGAGGTCATTTTAGCTCGAGGTGGTTGGGTACCCGAGCTCGATCTGCTGTGGACTGTTTACGTTAAGCTGAGTTGTCATCTCTTGATCAGGTCGTGTCCACGTATCCCCTTTTTACTAGGTCGGGCCAAATCATGTACCAACAACAAAAAGAAAAGAATGCTTCCCTACTCTCTGTACGTTTCTATCTTTGTTGTCCATCGAGTTGAATGATCAGTTGCACTTGATACACGACTACGGGCTCATGAATGTATATAGTTTTTGTATGCTGGTACAGATTTTGTTCGAATAGCCAGAGTTTGTGACAGACCATCCGTCAAGAGTCAAGACATGATCACGGAAGTCACAAACTATTTTAAGGGAAATAGAGTGAAGAAAAGGTTGGTTCATGCATTCAGGTCATAACAAGACTGAGAATGCGGGTTCAAATTTTAGGTCAGTATCCAGTCTACCCCTTCGGCCCTTCCGAGACCCTAGACAGCAGGTGGGACTAAAAAAACTTTGTAATGGCCTTTTATTTAAGTCGCAATAAGTAGTAGATGGAAGGCTGAAATTCTGCCTAGAATGGTACTAAACCATGGTTCAAAGCACTGTGAATCCATGATCATGATATAGTGGAAAAGTGAAATATATATATAGCCAACTCCATATGGCCGAGAGAAGGTTTAAACAGGGCTGGATTGGTGATAAGCTACTTTGGTTGATCATGATTTGTTCTGGAATCTAGAGTTTCTTTGAATCTTCCAATTTTGTTGCAGTTATAAGTCTTTCCGCAATCAAAACAGAAAATTGGAGAAACATCAGAACCCCAATCGATTTCTGTGAGAAGTGAAAGCTGTTGATTACATCAATGGAGACTATGGAGTCCCACGTTTCCAAATTTCCTGGTTTGAAAGAAAATAAGAGAGAGAAAAAGAAAGTTTGAGGGAATGTTCTAATTAACAAAACTTGTGAAATTGGTAGCTCTATGTGGTGGGTGGCTTAGGTAGAAGCGCATTAGCAAGCTAGGGATCAAGGAATGTGGCAAAATGTTCTCTGAGCTGTTAGGCGCTACTAGAATCACACGATGATCATTACTGTAAATATTGATCATACATATCCACTCATGGATTGGCATATGGGTCATCTTGGATTCTAATTGCAAGGTTGAGATAATGTTCTCAGGAAACAACACATGCTTTCCAAGACACCTTTTCCACCTCTTTATATATTATAATAGGATGGAAGAACTAACTTTATTAATGTACTTTTTTTAGGTTGTTGTAAGTCATCCAAGAGGTTAGCAAGGAATGTGGAATCTGGATCCATGTGCACTGGCAATCACCATCACACTTTTATATATTTAGATAGATAGACATCTTTATATGGGAACCTCATTTGTTGTAAAGTGGGACCCTTTGATGGTTATCAAGCTGAATTATATCATGGTTTCCCTTGATCCCCCCTTTGAAAAGGGGAGGGAGGGACCCATGAGGAGAGAGAAGGAGAGATTTATGCACGTGAGGAGAAGGTGGAGCACATGGGAGAAGATTCCTATCTTATGTAAGTAAGCATTTAAAAAGAGTATACATTTGGTAAGCAAACATTACATTACACAATAGAGACCCACATGACAATATGTATAAAATAAACACACTCAAAGGAAAAAAAAAAAAAAAAATTCACACCAATCCATGATACAAGGGGTTTTGTAATCCCCCAAAAGGTTACAACTTACAGAGAGTTAGGGGACATAGTAGGAATAACAACACTTGTCCAAAGCAAAGAAAAAGTAACAAGGAGAGAATATAAGAGGAGGAAGATGGTCCTACAGTCTCTCTATCTCTTTGCAATATGCCAATATGGATCCTTGGTCACACACAGGCTGTTAAAGGGAGGGAGAATAATGAAGGGTTTAGTGGTCACATGGAATGAAAGTCTCTGACACACAACACATGCCATTGCCTGCCAAGCACATGCAGTCTGTCTCCTCCACCCACAACAAAGTCTATTGCGCTTTCTTCTCACTAATAATCTCATCTATCCTTTTCAACCCATCACTGTCATTAAAAATCTCTCTATCTCTTCACACAACACAACCCTTATTATTTCTCTTCTTTCTTTCTTTGATCTCTCTTCTCTTAATTAAACACAATATACAACCATCAATCAGAGTAAAATAAAATATAGTTAGAACATCAGCCAGCTACTATTCATCTCAGCATATATATATTTATATATATAGATTATGTCAATTGATTCTATAAAGCGGGGGCTACGCTAGGTTGGTGGGAAGATGCCAGAGCAACGCATTGGAGATGACGTGTACACGTGATCAAGTGGTCATTGGTGAGACCCGCAGCCTGCATGAATGAGTGAATTACGGTGGGCCCAACGGTCCTGAATCCCCTCCTAACCATGTCTTTGCTAATACTCTCCGATTTGGATGTCTTCACTGGGATCCTGTGGCATGATTTGTACTGAGTGGATATGGGCTTGTGATTCACGAAACCCCAGATGTACTTGGCAAACGATCCGAATTCCCTTCTAATCTGTTGGGTCACAGATTGATTGAATCAATTACAAAGCAAATTATGATGATCATAAACCTTTCTACTAATTTCTACAATGCAAACTCTGCACACAACCTTGTAGGCATGTACCAGTATTGTCTACACGTGATTGGTTACTAGGAATAGGGAATAGGGGTAGGGTCCCCGTGGCTTATCAATGATCAATGAGTTGGTTCATGGTTGTATGTTGTAAAAGCAATCCAGTCAACACCTTCAACTAATCAAACTTGTTACCCAGAAGCGAAGAAAACACCAAAAACTATTCTTAATTCAAATTTCAATCAGTAGATGCAGCTTTGCTTTCATGGAGGATGAGAGATAGAACCTAAGTTTTATTTATTTTGTTCTTTTACTGGAGGAAAACCATGGAGGGTTGCACAAAAATCAAGAAAAAAGAAGGATGAAAGTCTGGTCTGGTAGGTTGAAAAGATGGGTAGGAGATCATGGGTGGTTGTAAGGTTTAAATCAGAGAAGGGTTTGATTAATCACCTCAAGAATGCAGTTAGAGTTGTCGACGACACCTCGGACTCGGCTGATATCTATGCTGTAGTCGGCACTGATGGAAGTTATTTGTCTTTCAGTGAAGGTGGAGACAACTTCTGCATCAAACCCTGAGAATGCATCCCTGCAAAGAAAGTAAACAAAGTTGATGTAAGCCACAACCGGAACCAGACGGCAATTATTAACATGTTTCGTGCAAGATTTTCTGGGTTTGAACAAAAACGTTAACCCCACCTGAAATCTTGGCGTTTCTTCAGGATTGAAGTCCAATCTGATCCGACTTGGGCACCACTCAACACTAGCAATTCAAACAACAGCCTGTACATCTTGAACTTATTAGAAATTGGGTTATGTATGTCTATCTATCTGCGTGAGAGAGAGAGAGAGAGAGAGGGGGGGGGGACTTACTTGTCATCGTGGACAGGAACTCCCCACTCTTCGTCATGGTAAGCAACATAAAGAGGATCTAGAAACCAGAACCGTAAACAAACACTCAGCGTTAGTATCTTCAAAGGGGAAAATTAATCTATTCCCAGAAACGTAACCCAGAAATCTTTTGTCTATTAATTGAATGTGTAAATAACTAGTAAAATCATCATACCAGAATTGGGTGTGATAAAACTGCATCTCTTCTCCTCACGACCGGTTGTGGTAGTAGTAGTAGTAGAAGAATCAAGCGGAACCACTTTGCCTTCAAATTTTGCAGACTTTGTTCTTCCATAATGAGCGATTCGCATCTTTCTTTGTGCTTGTATGAGTGTAACTTGCTCCCGCCTCGCAGCGGCGATGCTTCCCGGAGCCTCAACGATCAAAGAAGAGGAGTAATTCAACGAACAAGTGTCAATGGAAGGTGCAACTCCTGTAGCGCTAGAGCTAGAATTCTTGGACTTCTTCCTCACTAAAGCCGCCTGTTTGGGGGTGGATCGTGGCGTTGCGGCCTTGTCAACACTTGAATTCAACCCATTAGGATCATTCCCTCTCTTGAGCGCTGGTGGCCTTGGGGATTTGGACTTGGGAGAGATGGGAGGGGACCGTGAGACCTTGATTCCAGTAGTAGCAGTAGTTGGTGGCGGTGGCGGTGGTGGTGGAGCAGCAGCAGGAGACTTTGGAGAGATCTTCTTGAGCGAAGGACGTCGTTCCAAGGAAGAAACACGATTACAAGTGGGCTGAAGGACCGGACGGCCGTCGATCTGAGAGATGATGGGGGCGACGACATCAACACCTCCACAAGACTTGCCCTTGGAGCTGCACATTTTGTATGTGCTTGTGTGTGTTTTGGGTTGCAAGTTGCAACAAGAGGAGGCTGCTGGCAGGAGCTAGCAGAGAAGATGAAATGGAGAGGGGTTGCGAGTTGTGGTTCAGTGGTTGTGGAGTTGAATTATAGAAGAGTGTGCATGTGGGAAGAAGAGATAATTGGTTATCAGAGAAGAAATGGGGCAGACAATAAGAGATGAGGATTGATTGAGTGAGAGAATTGAAGAGTTGAGGAGGAGGAGGGTGAGGAATTGAAGGAGGGAGTGGGGAGGGTTGGGGGGTTTATAAAGGTGGGGGAGGAGTCAGGACTCAGGAGTGGGGACAGCTATTGGGAGGGAGTCCTAACTCCTAACATGGAGAGGTTGGGATCTGCCTTACAATTACAACATCAAGTGGCCAGGCCAGCCGGGGTCCTGTCACCTGTGGCTAACTGGCTGTGTCTGTGGATTCTGGATATTAATTATATTGGAATTTACTAGTCACTACTTATTTCATCAATTAACTAATAATTAATGTGAGTTTGCCTCTGCTACTTGCTAAAATGCGCACCCCCTCCCTCCCAACTAAAAAGGAAGGTAAGGGGGGAGTTGGGTTGAAGGCGGGGAAAAGCACCAATCACTGCTCATCTCTTTCTTTCTAGCTGGCAGGAATCTCTCCCTTCCTTCTCTCTAAGTTGTTTCATTCTTAGGATAAAAGAGAAAAAGAAAAAGGAAATGAGACACATTTTTGTTACCTAAAACTTTTCAGCTTCTTTCACCTTACTCTCTGCGCGTTTAGCTGTTCAACTAATCAAATATTAGTATTTAAGTTCCACGTTTGCTTTTAATTATGTATCCCCAGTTGACATCTTGTCTTTCTCTCAAGTCTCAACTTATATGTGTCTTGTTACCTTGTGAACATGAGCGAAACTGCTTGGGAGTTGGGACTTGGGGTTGGGGACCCCCCCTCTCTCCATTAGGCTATGTTTGGTTTGAAGGAAAATGTAGGAAAAGGAAGGGAAACATAGGGAAACTTTTACAAATAAGGTTTTCCTTATTTTTTCTACTTTTTCTTTCAAACCAAACACAGCCTTAAGGATTTACAGTAAATTAAAGCAATTTGAGAATGTATGGAACAGATCCATTAGCTGAATCATGCTTGCTTATAAGAATTAGGTAGTAAAGTCATCATTTTAACATATAGGAGTTATTTCACAGTTCAAGTCTTTCTAAATAGATCTTTCAATAGTCTAATAGACGAGAAGATGCACTGAATTTTTGGGGTTTTATCTTTAAAGATTCTCATTATCGTCTATTAAAACAGTTGGGAGGGTTATTTTTAGCACAAAAAGACTAAAAGCTTCATTTAAAGCTTCCTGATTTTTGACGTGTTTAACACGTGTGCACCTCCTCAAGTCATTCAATCTCCACGATACCAAATAGAAAAGACCATTTTCTTTATAACTTCTTGCAGACTAAAAGACACATAAAAAATGAGCCAAACACCACCTTAAGCTATTACTTCAATTACATTACTTACACTAGCAGTGATCAATTAATAAACGACGAGAACAAGACAGAACACAGTGCCCCATTATTTGCAAGTTGCACCGAAGATGAAGGCTGCATATTTATCTGGGTGCGGGTTCATTCCCCTATGTGTGCAGCAGACACTAATGAACAGCGCCATGTATAAAAGTTTCAGATTCGGGTACGCCAGTTCCACTTTCTAATAAACAGTGATGGCGACACGTGTTAAGGTATAGGGGTATCTTTGCCATTACACAAGAAATATTGAGAGAGTATTCAAAGTAACTGGGCAACGATTCCCATTCGCCCACATCGTCTCGACCATTATTTATCCATGTAACTGTAGGTGTACCCTAGTAGACTGTAGTTATTAGTTGTTTCTAGGCTAGGCGTACCCCCTTCCTATACCGTTAAATTGGCAGTTTTTTCAGTTTTTTTCTTGAGTTTTGCCTCGTCAGAGAGATCATCATCACCCTTGTTTATTTAGAAAATTTAATTCATAATCAAAGGCAAGGGGACCAATATATGGTTAGGTGAAGTAGGATACATAATATTTAGCAATTTTCATGGGTTAACACAATGTGTTTCCCACGCATGTCTGTCTAGCTTACTGGGACTCTAAGAAATTGTGTCAAAAGGAAATTAAAGGCTTAAAGCAAAGGGGATAGTGACATGGGTTCCTCTCTATCCAGCTCAAGCCAGTGCCTCCAAAAGGAAAATGGGGCTACCCTAAAAACAAAACTCAAGCCAGTCGACCCAGCAAGGTAGTGGATGGATGGACGATGGAGTCATCGATCGCCAGGATGTTGACAAAAAGTAGAACTGAATTCATTTTTCTGGGGGAACCCTAAAAACTTGACCTTACTTGATGATTTTGTAAAGGGAGCACACCTCTAGGCTCTAGCTTCTACGATTCTGTTTCACAAGACAAATTCGTGCGTTCCACTGCAAAGGAGAAAGATCAAAATGAAATCATTTCATTGGGTGTAGTGTCCAAAGGGCCCATTGATTCCTTTCCCCCCCTTCCCCTTTCTCTTTTCCAAATGTACCAACACCTAGAACAGTAAATGGTAGAAAAAGAAAGAATAAAAGACAAACGAGGTTGGATATGTGGTTGATGATAATTTCCAAAAGCTTTGTCAGTTTGGCCTGAGTCCAGTCTTGAGTCTTAACTTAAGTTGGACCATCTTATTCGAGCAACTCTCTGTTATCTTTAATTGGTCCATGCATCATGAGATGTGTTCTAACTTCTCTCATAACTCATCAAATGGTGGGTGGTGCTAATGCTGGTGGCGCTACACAAGCATGTGGAGGGGGGGGGGGGGGGGGGGGTCGATATGGAGATGTCTCATTCTCAACCAATGCAAATGCTGTGGATAGCTTACCAAACCAGCTAGCAATAAGCTAGCAAAGGAGTGTGATCGGTCTTCAGTAGTCAGACCGATCGGAATTGCCGTTACTTTCCGGGAAAATGACTCGCAAATTAAAGCAATTATATATGGCTGCTAAGGATAAGTTTGGAAGTGCTTATTGGCATAAGCACTTATGGGTCAGGAGAACATCAATAAGGACTTATTTACGTTTGGGAAATGAGTAAGTTATTGGAGAAACCCAAATTTTGGATTTATTTTTAAGTGTTTATTCAAAAGGTCATTTATTAGAACACCCCCTTTAGTTTTACAGATTTGCTTAAAACCTACCCTATAGTTTATATTTTATTAAAACACTCCTTATAATTTACAACTTATTTACTTAATCAACTTTTCATTAACATCTTTATTTCCCCTAAATTAAGTGAAAAATGTTTAAGGGCATGGACCCATAGTTGTTTATTCCAAAAGTACCCCAAAACTGAGTGGAAAATGTTCAAGGGTATGAATCCATAACATTTTTTTTTTGTATAGAAAACAAAATTGACCAATTAGAGAAGAATAGAGTGATTGACCGTGTTTTATTAGGGGCAAAAATGATAATTTTATTTTTAGTTTCTTTTGATTAAATTTATATGAATGGATGTTAATGTTAAAACTGCCATTTTCCACTTTCATCTAATGGAAAGTTGATTAAATAAATTGATTACAAACTATAGGATAGGTTTTAGTAAATTCATGCAACTATGGAGAGTGTTTTAGTAAATGACCCTTTATTCAATAAGTGTTTATTTCCTTTCTGGCCTATCTTAGCCCACCATATTATTTAAAAATACCTATATTAATTGCTTTATTTAAAATAATTAGATTTTCATCAAATATTAATAAATACTTATTAAAATAAGTAATTATATTTAAGCAATTATTCACTAAACAGTAAATATTTATTTTTCAAATAAACACTCCCAAACTTAGCCTTATTGATAGACTCTATAAGTCTTGTGACTAGTCCTGTGCATCGTGTGTAGAGGACCATGGCCTACCAACAAATGAAGAGCAACCATCCGGCCGGCTCAAAATGAATCAGTTAAGTTTAATATGAGTGCTAAATTGTGTTTTTTTGGTAAATGTATAGAATTCACATTGAGCTTGGATGGTGGACAGGATCCCTAATATTGCAACTTTTAGAAAGATAACGGGAACAACGTACAGTTGGATGATGAAGTCATCCGATCATTGCTGATTTTTAGTGCAGAGTGCAGACCCACTGTTTTAGGTGGGGCCAACACAGGGTGAGCTTTGAAACGTATGATAGAGTTGGGCCATAGGCCTATAGCTATGGTCATTTTCCTTGGAGCTATCTTTTTGGGGATCAATACTCAATAGATCATCTTTTGGAGTGTGTAAAGCAATACAGTGAAACCTAAAATATACTTGTGATCATTTCACACAGACACAAACACAGAGAGTGAGATTCCATCTAGTCATCTGCCCTTTGTTTTAGTTGGAAGAGTTAGAAAAGAGGGACATTGTTTCAGAGACTAAGCCAACGGCCCTACTACTAGCTAATTGATGAAGAGATGAGAGCAATATATTTATGAAAAGAAGATGCCATTCATGGGATATGGCTAAATGAAAGATTAGAAGGTCCCCTTCCCTACCACACATTGGATGTCTAGAATATTTGACACATCATTCCCTCCATAAGCAATTGGTGTTGGGGCATATTGTTGGCCCATGAATGCATAATGCGGCTTATCCACACAGCCTATGTGACCTGATTAGACCCTCTAAATCATTATTGTGCAGTATATATCAATGTTGCCATACTTTGACTCGACAGAAAAATCGAATGTTTTAACTAGTCATTTAGCCCATTTAAACCATGAAAACTGTTATTTAACTGGAGCCTGAAAAGATCAATGTTATTACTTCAACCTCTGAGAATGGATATACATTTCACGATGAGAGAGCATGATAGTAACCACGAGCATAGGATGAAGACGGTTGAATGTCTAAATTAAGGTGGCCTTTGTTAATCTTTTTCATATCTCTGAAGTTTGAAAACGTTGCTTTTCATATGTCGAGGGGTTTGGAAGTGTATTTGAATTTGGGTCTGAAATGAATTTTCAGATTTGAACTAATAAGACCCAGGCCAGGCATTGAACGCGGTTAGACGCGTATCAAATCTGGCCGAAAATCCAAAATACCCTTAATGATTTTTTCTAAAAACACACGTTTCTCCCTCCTATTCATTTTCTCCACTTGACGTAGCGGCAAACCAGCTGCGACAAGTGACTCCTCCAACCTTCTCTCTCTAGTCTCACGGCTTCCACCTTCCTCTGTTTTTCGTTTTCGATCGCCAATGCAGCTCTTGGCAGCGACAATCTATTT